TTTACGAATATAATGTTTTTTTATGGACATCTTTACCATTCAATCTCGTCCAACTGATCTTCCTGCTGTCACTCTTCGGCTCTTGGTAGTTTAGGCATTTATCAAACCTGGCAACTCCAGGTTTCCTGGCAGCTGTCAATCAAAGTCCAGTGGCTCCGCCCCAAAGTGTCAGAAACTTTTCACGCGCGCGCAGACAGACTCCGCGAGCGAGTGAGGCTGACACTCCCGCGAGCGAGCAAGAGGGCTGTCTCTGCGCGTGAAAAAGCACATTTTCCGCTCGTGAGTAGCTTGTTTTGCGGCTAGAATATTGACCCAAATCGGTGCCATCGGGCATTCGCCCCGATCAGAGTGAGGGCGAATGCCCGATGGCACCGATGATAACAAGATGCCCTCACGATTTGACAAGATGCCCTCACGACTGCCTTATGAAGTTGCCGCCGGAGCCTAAGAAACTCCACCGGCGGTCATACGAAGGCTTAAGATGCCCTCACGAATGGCCCGATGTTGTTACGATCAGAGCCAAATTTGAACATTTCCTTTATCGTGTGTCCATCGGGTGTCAATTTCGGGACAGTGTGACAGGGGCTTAAGGGCTTATTGTCTAGTTCAAAAGTATTTCAAAAATTATATAAATAGGTATGTGACAGCACTTTGCCAAGACATATCAGCTTAACTAGACAGCATTAAAACATGTTTCATACATGTGTTTTAAGTTTTGTACTGCCTGATTTGAACGTATTCCAGCTTAAGCATTACACAACGAGAGATAGATTTAAATTAAGCTAATTATTTGTATTTGTTTTGCCTATGTTTGTGTTGCATGTTCAATCTGAAATCCTTTCCAGCAATTTAATATGCAAGGCTGAATATGTGCAATCCTTTTTGTTGAAGTATATTTAACACCTTCCCCTTGTAACCCCTGTGCGCTAATAAGCTATGCATTGTGGGTAATTTTCTCAGACACATTTTACAGAAATGCGAATTTACGGAGGGGGCTACAAATGTATGCGAGAAGCACTTGATTGGCAATTAGACAGTGGGTCAGCAATATATTTCACGGACTTTGCGGAGAAGCGCCTCCGACAATGGGATCGATGTTCTTAAAAGAAAAATGTAATAATTGTAAATAACCAAAAAATATATATTATTTGAAGATAAGGTTAACCTTTGTTCAAGTTTGTATTAAAACAATACTCGCATGCAGATCTGTACATTAAAACAACAACATAAGTAGTACATTCGAGGCCCTCTGGAAGGAACAGCACTTTCCTGATATCACTGATGAAAAATGTGATACATTAATTAACCTAAATTAGGTAATGAAAAAATCTACTTTTAATATTTTTGGATTAGATCTGAATCACTGGCGGACACGCGAATAGCAAGAATCTGCTAAACCAATTTGTGGATCATTCATATTGTTTTAAATTAGCTTAGCTTCTCCACAAGCTGTCCATGTAGCCCCTGGTAATCAGTTCAGGGTAACCACAGAGTACCACTGGTTGGGAATCCCTGCAATACATTAAAGTCCCATAATGCACCATCCCATCTTCAGCAAGCGGAACAACGCCTACAAAAGAGAACATAAAGAAGACTTAACATTAATAAACACTCCTACACTTCTGCCATCACCACCACACTGCAGTGTTACAACTCTGATCCTTTGTGATTCAGACATGCAGATTCAGAGGAAGCTCTGCAGAGACACTCTTCAGTTTTAAAGACTGCATATTTATTCATTTCATATGCATATGTGGTTTCAATCAACTCCAAACCTCAACATACATGCGACAAATCGTCTCCTCATGACTCAGGGAGTGCACAGTCACTGGTCTCCCTGGTTTTACTGGAGCGTACTCACGCCCACTGGAAGGCATCACACAGTTTTCACCACGGTCCATCAATTCAGACAACACTGAATTTACACACACACACACACACACACACACACACACACACACACACACACACACACACACACACACACACACACACACACACACACACACACACACAGATCCTTCAGAAATATTCTTTTTTTCCCTCCTAAATGTAGGTGTAATGGCTTTCAAAGCAGAAGCTAAACACTGCCCCCTACAGTCTGATATGCAGTAGTCATTCAATGAAAAAGGATTGATACAGTTGTCCAACAAGTGTTCACATTGAATCCGTAGCTTTTGCCATCTATTAATGTCACTCTTTAACATGTCCTTTTATAAACAGCACAGTTAATCATTATGCTAGGAGTCAAGTTTCACAATTCTAATTCTTAAACCAAATTCTGCACATGTTAGCACAAACCACTATGGGATTCAGCATTTTAGCATCATTTGCTCCATTATTGAAAATTCAATGCTGAAAAACATGTCCTCCAATCAGTTTAATCTTTCCAATTTGTTTTTACTTAAGGGAAAGAAGCAATGATACAGGAGTAAAAGTAATCATTATGCAATATGGCCCATTTCGGAATATAATATTAAATAATTATATTATAAATATTGATGATTTAATGTGTTCATCACTTTAATGTTGAACTTGGTTAAGATGGGGTTTATGTGAATTACTTCATATACTGCTGGGTAGCTTAACCTACAATAATTCATCATCATTTATAAGTTGATTTACATTTTGTATGAGTTAACTGAATCTGCAAAGTAATTAGTATTTAGAACTATAAAAGAAATGTAGTGGATTAAAAGTGTCACTTCTGCCCACAAAATGTAGTGAAGTAAAAGCAAAAAGTAACATCATGTGAATTCAAAACTTTACTAAAGTACAGTACTTGCGTAAATGTACTTGTGTTACAATCGACCACTTTATTTGTAACTGTTTACAATATAGCCCACTTACTCTTTATTGTGTATTCTATCAATTTATCAGCCTAAACAAATCTTTGTCTTTGAACTTGTTGCTGTTATTTTTCATGAACCCCGTTTCCGCACATTATATTATATTATTATTTTTGGTACCAATAAAGTCCTCCAGTGTTAGACAGTCTGGTCTGTGTGCAGCTGATGTCCGGGACTCATTTTGGTTCAGCCTCGTGGCGTTCCAGCGCGGGGGGCAACGTGGTCCCACAGGGGCCGTGGAAATGGAACCTTAAACAGACAGAGGAAAATAAACTTGCTGTGAATTAAATCAGTGATTATTAATGATGTGAGTGTCTGAGTTGGTGACAGTAAATGAAACACACTTGAAGCGCATGGTGGCCGGCGTGTCCTCCATGTTGAATTCGGCCACAGGGACACCTCTGGCTGCCACCTGAGGAGCAAACATGGCGGCTGGATACACAACGGATGAAGTGCCAACCTGCAGGGGCAGAGTTTATTGAAAAAGTATCAAGAAAGTGAATAACTCCTGCTTTTTTTTAAGGACACAGCTTTTACATTTTCAAAAGACTCTGACAGTCTCGGAACAACCAGTCATGTTTTCAAAGCATTTTTATGACATATATAAAACATTTAATAATTACATGAGTGATTTTGGCAGGAGTATGTGATGCACATTAGTTTGTGATTGTCTGCACGCACGCACGCACGCACGCACGCACGCACACACACACACACACACACACACACACACA